ATTCGCAAACTCTACTACACGATCAGTCACGCGAAACGCAGATGGTGCGGCCCATGAGCCCATTACCCATGTCGCCGGCATTCAGCGCGAGACAAGGAGTTCACCAACGTTAGGGTTTGGGGGTTAGGGGATGTACTCACCAGTGGCTGTAGCAGGGGGTTTATGGGACGACAATCGTGGCATGGCGGTGGTGGCAGTCAAGACGGCGACAGGGTGGGGCAGCGGGGGTGTTGCCCGCCGGGTAGTGGGAGATGACAATTGGGCAGGGCTGGCGGCAAGGGCGTCGCAGCAAAGTGGTTGCCAGCACCCCTGACATTAGGGGAGGACGGGGTCGAGAGGCGACGATGGGAGGTGGGTGGCACGACGAGGTAGCTAGTGAGGGCTGTCGGGCGCCCGGTGGTGGAAGCTCAAGGGAGGGGGCACAGAAGAGGGGTGCATGAGCGAGCTCAATGAGGGTGGGGGTGGCACGGGCGAGGAGGAAGAAGGGTTGCATGGTTCCCAGTCACATGGCCCGTCGCACAATAATCATCCTTCAAACATTTTTTTAACCTTTGGATGGATACATATAAGAGCACCCTATGCTTTTGGCCAACAAAAAAAACTCGGACTGCGGGGGGATAGTATGCACATTAAGGTAGAGGACTCCTTGCTCAGTCCAAGAAAAACCCTGAACCTCGTACCCTATCCACACACAAGGGCCTATTACCATGTGAGTGGACCGGTGCCACAAACATGTGCTTTGTGTAAAGCGGGGCTGACGAGGTTTTTTTACCTCCGACATTGCAATTCACCCACTGGGGGATCGAGCCCAACAAAACAAGGAGCAAAGACGAGAATACGTACCCTGTCAAAGCCTGCCTAACCTAAGGCTCAGAACTATCATCACAGTCAAAATTCAAAATTCTGTCTAATTTGTTTATTACATATATATTCTATAGATAAAGCGATTTATTTATTGTTTACATATTTTCAACACGTTAGCACGTCGTCGTCTACCAACACGTCGAGCTCCATCCAGCAAAAAAAAAAAGGTCCAGAGGTCATGTCTGGTAATAAAAAGAAAGAATATTTGCACAAGGGGGAATCATATATTCATGGGTGAACTAGCTCCCTGGTCCAGTTGCTTATCCGGCGACAGAAGGCATCAACGTAGCTTTGGTTTCTCCTTCACCATAATTTACCCAAGACGATTATGAATGCGGATGCCGGATGGAGTTGCTTCGTTCCACGGGCAAAGCTCTCTCGCAGCGCACAAGTCAGAGGCACCCGCACTCCAAAGGCATTGACGATGCGCTACGCCCCGGGGCCCTGCCGCGGCCGGCCTCCGAAAGCAACCCCGACCGGCCGCCCGGCCGGCCAACAGCTAGGCGCCTGCCATCGATGTATGCTTGCTGCATGCAATGGCGCGTGCATGATCGAGCAGACGAGCTGCTACCACACGACTCACGAGCTAGTATATGGAGACGACGGATCTGATGAAGAGAAGTGTATTGATCAGGCTCTAGTCTTTTTCTTTTCAGTAATGGCGATAGATTACGCCACTGTTCACAATCACACCTGCACATGATCGATCGTCCGAGGGTTTCTGGGTTCCTACGTCAATTGGTATTGGCTAGCTTGTGTTTGTGGAAATGTAGGACGTCCTAGCTAATAACCTCTCCCTCTCTCTCTACCTCTCTTTCTCTCTCTTCATCTCCCTCCCCCTCTCCCCCTATGATTGATCTTTACCTACTGCACATACCTTTTCTTTTTCATGCCTGCTTGCTTGTTCTCGGCAGCCATCTCTGGTCTCTTGCTGTTTGTTTAAGGAATAGGCATGACATCAAGTGAGCTGACAGCTTGTTGGACTGGACTTTGTGAGGCAGATGCTCTCCTAACCCAAACGTCCCCCTGGCCCCTACTGCAACTAGGCCTGAAAAGGGCCGGGGCGCCCTTAGGACATGCTCAGTGTTTCATGGAATTCGGTCGATCGAGCAGGTCGATGTCGACGGCAAGCGACAGCAAATCGACGAAAAAGAGGCGATGGGATGGCCGGGAGAGGATTTGGCCTTCGGGCGGGGTTCCTACTTCTGGTCCGTCCGGCATTGCCGCCTGCCTCCTGATGCCAACCCTGTCATGTGTTTGCGTTAATTCCTGTCAACACTTGCAATTATTGCGCTGCATGTGGTGTGGACATATGGTGCTGCTTCTTTGGCTTGGAGAGTTGAAGGGGACCTGTTGCTTGGGCAGGGTAACTCTGGCCTAACCCTGTCTGTCCCCATTACGAATACCATCAAGTGTAAACCTGCAGGCATGCATGTCACTAACAGTTTCTGCTCTTCGATCGTCAAGTTTTCTTTTTTTTTTTGAAAAAAAGAGAAAGTGAAATATATAGATGTACACCTGAAAACATGACGTGTAGAGCACTGCACTTGTGCTGGAAGAATTACAAGTTCAGAAGCTACAGCACCTGGTACTTGGTAGCTAGTAAGTGGTAGAACTGGCGAGCAAGTTACCCTTGCAAGGCTAAACAAATGGTGCTTGTGTGTTCACCAAAAGGTCAGCAGTCACTTGGCAGGCAAAGCAACTCCGGCAATGCAGGTTTCGTCATGCTGGGGTTATTCCGATCCAAGCAAGTGTTTGTCACGGTTAACGGCGACAGGGCGACCAGAGAGTGTAGTTACCTTGTTGGCCTGGCTTACTTGCTTTCATTTGCGCGTACGTAGTTGCCGCTGGGTGTGGATGATCCATGCCTTGGCGTCATCTTTTATTCTTTTTTTCACGGAAGAAATACGCCTCCACGACGTCATTCTTTGTTTGCTGCGCAGTAATCTTCCTACACCCTACACCTGGGCTGCCTGGCTTGCAGATCTTTTCCCAGCAAGAACTGTTCCGTTATTCCGTGTAGCTTTTGTGCTCTGCTGATGCCGGCGATTTGAGAGCAGAGGAAACTGTTTACTACTCCAAAGTCTGAACAAACAAGTCAGTTTAATACATGTTATGCATAGCCACGCAAAGAATGTTTCATTTCTTCAGAACTAAGCAAAGAAAATTCAAAAGTGTTGTATCATAAGGAGTGAAAAGTCAGATGCTGAGAACTTCATCTGCGTTAAAAATGCAATTCTGACAGCGCCTTTGAGAAATATCTGACCACAAGTGGACCCAAGAGCCCCCAAGATTCAGGCACCGGTTGGTGGTGCTCGCTGCTCGGTTGCTTGGAAGGAGGAGGCAGGAAGCAACCAGCACGTACAACACATGGTCATATATGGATATGTATGATCAGCTCAGCTGAGTTCTTCTCTGGGGGAAAAAACAGCTGGCGCTGTTGATTAACATGGAAGATATCCATATGCTAAATCTCTTAATATATTAAAAAAATGTGTGTTGGATAGCATTTCCAACTACCAAAACGTTGGTTCAACTCTTCTTTCTTTTAGCAATCATTTACAAAAAAAGGCCATATCAATCAGGCTTCCATCCGATTTGCCATGTCAGGGTCCATGTTGTCCATGCTATGCCGCTTCATTTTGAAGCAACTACTTGCAATGCAAGTAGCAACACATGCACAAACCAGCTGAAAGCGCATCTGAAGAACACTATTTTTGTATAAAAAATGAAGAGATTTATCCTTTCCAGGAAAGGAGAGCATTTTTTTCCTAGATAAAGGAAAATAATTCCACCTCTGCATTGATGCATGATTGTATATAGCCCAACAAACAACCAAATACCAAATAGCACTGAGGCTACACGAAATATATGTTGAGAAGAGTGACATACGAAAGAAAGTTAAGGCTTTGTTTGGATCGCCTGTACTAACAATTAGTTGGCTAAACTTTAGCCCTTAAGGATCCAAACAAGAGGACTAATGGGTGGGCTAAAGTTTAGCCAAAGCCATGACTAGTTTAGTTCACTACTCCATAGAACCCAACTATCAAGGGCTAGCAACTAGTTCTAATCTATAGAACCCAACAATTAGTTTAGAATCCAAACATGTATGGACTAATAACTAGTTAGCTAATTTTTAGCTGGCTATGTTTTAGCCATGACTAAAAACTAGTTCTAGTTCATTCAAACATGGCCTAAAGTTAGTTTAAGCTCAATTCTGTTGCTAAACCCCCAACCAAAAAAAAATAAATATCTCCATAACGGTGACTTCCAAATTTCTGCATCCATCTTCGAAACACCTCTCTATATAGCTTTATTTGGATGCGTATGTATTCATCTCAATCCACATATGTATTGAACATTCCATTCCATTCACACATGTGGATTGAACTAGATATACATACATCAAACAAGGCCTTAAGAGTGGCAACCAACTTCTAATTTAACACATCCCCTGAAAATAACCTGCAACACATCCCTTGAAAATAACCTGCATGAAAGAATTAGTTGTAGTTTTCTTGAAAACCACATCATTTCTCCTCAACCAATATAGCATAACAAAAAGCAGCAGCACCAACTAAATTTTGGAATCTAGGCTTAGATAAATGAAAGCGAGCATATGAAGGAAGACAAATAAATGGGTTCATTTGTATCTAAATATAAGAAAGAGGTTAGATTGCTTGAGTTAAATTAGCACTCCTTTTCCTACCTTTTTTTTTTTTTTTCCTCTCTCTAGTTTGCAATTATCATTACTCCATCTTGAAATTGACAGCAACGGAGAAGAGATTTAGAGAAGATTTGTTTCGGACTGGGACGGGATCATGTCAAATCGGAGAAGGAATCATACTATTTAAGCAAAAGTAGATGCAGGATGGAGTCCGCTCCACATCACATCGGATCCTATAAATTTTTCTCTCGCCTTTTCTTCTCCCCTCCGCACCACATCATCATAAATCTCTCCTCTCTCTTCTCTCTCATCTCTCTCTCCTCTCTCTCTCTCGCTCGCTCCCTCTCCAAGCTCCAGCTAGACTGTCCTGCTCTGCTTCGGTGCTTGCTACTGTGCACAGCAAGCCAAGCTGCAGCAGAGCAGAGTCCGGCTCGGCTGTGAGCCCTGAGCAGAGAGGCTCTGCAGTGCAATGGAGAGGCCTGCGCAGGCGCCCCCCAGCAGCTGCCGCCGGGGTTCCGGTTTCACCCCACCGACGAGGAGCTGGTAGTGCTGTACCTCCGCCGGCAGGCCCTGGCTCGCCCGCTGCCGGCCGCCGTCATCCCCGTCGTCCACGACGTCGCCAGGCTCGATCCATGGGACCTCCCTGGTGCGTGCGCACGCATACTCTCTTCATTTGAGCCGCCTCGCTTGCAGGCTGCAGCTGCGCTGCTGCGGCACAACCACGAACACCTTCAGATTAGCGTAAATGGAAGCTTATCGATACAGAGTTTTCCTGATTATTTGGTGTAACTAAACTACGCAGGGGCAAACGAAGGGGAGGGCTACTTCTTTAGCCTGCGGCGAGCGCCGGCGACCGGGCGTGGCAGCCGCAGGAGGAGAGCTGGGAGTGGGTACTGGAAGGCCACGGGGAAGGAGAAGCCGGTGTTCCTGCAGTGCGGCGGCGGCTGCAAGAGGCAGCTGCTCGTGGGCGTCAAGACGGCGCTCGCCTTCCACCGCAGTGAGCCGCCACCATCGTCCTCGCGGACCGGCTGGATCATGCACGAGTACCGGCTCGCCGTGCCCCGCGGCGTGGCCGAGCAGAGGAAGAAGAATGCGAGCCAGGTAAGAATTCCCACCATAATTTCAACCATTAGGCTTCAGTCTTTCTCAGTCTTTGCTGTGAAATTTTACAGAGTCCCCGACTTCATTCTCTGCCGCAAATACTCCCAATTGGGAGTAGCACATACCACTCCCAATTTACTGCTGTAAGCTTGTAACTATGGTTGCATGCATCGAAGCCACTCTACCATTCAAATCAAAATGTTGTGAAAAATGCTTAAACTCATTTAACTACGCTAACAGCAAAGTAGAAAGTACCAACATATTGAAAATGGCTCATTGCAAAAGAAGTGAAAGATCGACGTCAGTTAGTCAGTAGCATTTGTACACTCACTCACTGAGTCTAAAACCAGAAAGTTCCCCGTCTTGGGGCAACTTGAGACTGTGACAGCTTAACATCGACTACTAAATGGAATACAACACAATGCAATTAATGTTTCAGATCATGCAGATATGAGAATCTAGCCTCCGTTCGAAGTAACTTTGATCCGCTTTGCAACCTCGATCGCGATGTTTTGCCTTACAGATCGCTTACATTTGCCCCCGAACTGCAGGGTTGCGTTGCTAATCCAGGAGAGTGGGTCGTGTGCCGGGTCTTCCTGAAGAACAACAGGCCAGGAAGCAGCAGGCCAAACCGGGACGCCAGCAGCAAAACTCTGGGACACCGCGCCTCCGCTGCGCCACCGCAGCAGCAGCACCGGGAAGACGTGGGAGGACAGGGACAGCAGCCGTTGATGTTCTCGGCGCCGCAGTCGTCGTCCTCAAGCTGCGTTACTGACTTGTCAGACGAAGACGACGAAGTCAGCAGCGGCGGCATAACCAGAGATGCCCCAGCTGCCCCTCAAAGAGAGGCCTACTAGGGATTTTATTAAGTGTTTTCCCCCTCTCTTGCCCCGTTGCCCGTACTTTTCCTGGTACCGTATAATGATGCGTCCCGCATAATCAGGTTTAAGGCAAGTCCAGCGCAAGAATGGTCCCGGAATACCATGTCAAACAGATTTGGCAAGCTGAGTTTGAATCAGGAGCGATAGTTGCTACGGTTCATCTGTGGAGTGGCATGCACTTTGATTTGATGCTAAAAAATGGGCGCTGCGACGGCCCAATAGTGTGTAGAATCTAAAATGGCAGTTAATCTGAGGTAGACGGTGGAATCCTTGATGTATAGAATTGTAGTGACGGGCTGACGGCTGCCCTACCACGAATATTTCATAATACTTCCTCTATATCCTAATATACAAGGTGTAATTATTACTTATTCAAGTCCTATAATATAAATACAAGGCGTGGTATCTTTCTCCCTCTCTAGATGCACATGCATCCATGCAGCAGTAGTACTGTGTTCAGCTGGTGTAGTGTACAGTGATTTTTGATTGTTTTGGATGATTGAATAGTATTACGTGAGAGAGAATAAGCTGAAACAAGCTGGAAGTGTACCAGCCGAACGCAGTGATTCTTTGATCCTTGTATCAGAGATAATTACGCCTTATATATACCAATTTGTCTTAGTGCGTCTCCAGTGGGACTAAGAAATTGTTTGCTTAAGTGGTGCCGGGAAATAGTACAAAATAAAAAAAATAGCTTGTACTAGACGAGTTAGGGAGAGCAGACACCGTGAGCTTTTTGGAAGCGAGCGAGCCTAGCGATTCCTTTCTCGCTAGCGAGTTGCTTTTTAGCAACATCTCTCCTGCACGTTGGACACATTGTAATGTCAGCCGCGCGATGTTGCCACACTGTTGAGGACGCGATTATTATCTTACTAAGTGGCTTCTCTTGGCTGCTCCTCACAAAATCAATACAAATCATTATAAAACTGTTCATAGAGCTGTTTTTTGTCAAATATTTTCTAAAACAGCTCTCGCTCCATCAGCAAAGTTGCTTCACATAAGAAACTAGAACCAGAGATGTACCGAACGGACCCTGAATGAAAAAGTTACCCAGATTATTTACGTGGGCCAAGTTGCGAATGGCTCTGCTAGGCCGAGAAGGCCTTCTGCATTGCTGCCGTGTCTTACATCTACTAGGCTTTAGCCAGACCTTGAACGGTGTCGGCCCGCCTGCTGGGCCAACGTCGTGCACACGCTCTCAGTAAAATCACACCACGCGGGGGCTTTTGCAAAAAGCGCGCAAATAAAAATCTCACGCAGCCAGGAGACAAATCCACGTTTTCCTTCGCCGCCGCCTCCATCGCGGTCGCGGCCAAGGCCGACGAACCAATCCCCCTACGGCCCACCTTCCTCCTCCCTGCCTGCCATTCTCCCATCCCGGCAGGGCGTCTCCTCCTCCCTCCTTTCCATCCCGCTTCTATCGCCGCCTCCATCTCCAGGCCCGCGTCGAATTCCTCCATCCACCGCGCCGTCCGGTCGCCGAGGAGGAGGAGGAGGATGCTGGGCGCCGCGAGGAGGCAGCTTGGATCCGGTCCCGTGAGTGCCGAACCAGTCGTACCGCCGTGGGTTTCTGATCGCCTCGCGAGGTTGGATCTGTAACGGTGTTATTGGTTTTTTTTTGGGTCTCTGTTCGCAGATGCTGGGACAAGTTTTGCGAAGGCTCCGCCCAGCGGCTGCGGCTGAGGTGGCGAGGGGCTACTCCGCTGCGGCGAAGGAGGTGAGGCGCCGCTTGACCGAAACCTACCTTTTCGTTTTAACCGTGGAGGCGAGGAGGTTGTGTTGGTATTAGACGTCATGTAAATCGTAATTGTGTTGTCTTGTTTGTCGACCGGCGGCTAGAATGTAGACTGGGGGTAGGTGGTTTAAGCGGTGGAGACGTGTGGTTGCGAGTTTAGTTATTGCAGTAGTTGTCATGATCCCATGAAGCGAATTGTTCATAGTCTGGTGATGGGTCGGTCGCTTTGTTATGTCAGTGGTTTATGGGCCAAGGGAATGATTTAATGCTTTAATTTATGGCTTACATCTTAGTGGGATACACTTCGGTTTTGTGCGGTGCATGTTAGTTGAGAAATGCTACTAGAATATATTCGTCGAAGTAGCTTTTTGTGTGAGATTCAGATTCCTGAATCCTGATAAGCTATATGTGGGAAAAACCAAGTCCTGGTTTTGCAATTCTTTGTGCCTTCTATATAGATGAAGCGCGCTTGGTAGTTTCTAAATGTTAAAATTGTACATGGGGTTCATTTGATGTCTGATCAAATTATTACATTTAGCTACATTTTGTTATGCATTTTATGCTTTGTTTCTTCTTTCTTTTTACTTCGTCCCTATGCCAGCACCCGCTAGTGTTTTATTTCCATGCTGTAGTTTTATTTCGTCCCTATGCCAGCACCCGCTAGTGTTTTATTCCAATGTTGTAGTTTCTACATCTTTATGTGGCAAGTCATATACATTATTATTCTACATGTTCAGATGACTGTCCGTGATGCGTTGAACTCTGCACTGGATGAAGAGATGTCTGCTGATCCTTCCGTTTTTCTGATGGGAGAAGAGGTATCGCCTGAAAAATTTCTTGCTGCTGGTCCTTTTTCCCTGTTTAGTGTCTTTTTTATATAATTCATATTCCTCATTTGTGTAGGTTGGAGAGTATCAAGGTGCATACAAGGTTTGTAAAATTTCTAAGGATTAATGCGTTTGCTTTTATCTGTCGGTAACGTGACACTCTTAAATCCTACCATTTTATAATATTCATCGGTGTCCTGTTGCAGATTTCTAAGGGCTTGCTTGACAGGTATGGTCCTGATAGGGTTCTTGACACACCTATCACAGAGGTGCACTATTAAAATCCTGAAACCATTGCTTTCAGGCTGCGTAAACATGATCACACAGGCACACACTTACTGCTTTCTCTTTGTACCCTCAGGCTGGCTTTACTGGCATTGGTGTTGGTGCAGCTTATCATGGTCTTCGGCCTATTATAGAATTTATGACATTTAATTTCTCGATGCAGGTCAGATTTTGATATTGGTAACGAATTAAAAGATTTTTACTTTCTTATCTTAAAGTATACCCTGGACGTCTGAGTACTATAATGGTCCGTGGTTGCTATGCAATACACCTGTCTTTAGAATTCTTAGTTATCTAAATTTTGTGTAGTCTTTGCAATACACATTGGCCAATTTGCTACTGATTTTAGTCTTTGCAAGAATGCCACTCAAATGATAGTTCTGGTGGCATTTTTGCCATTTTCTAGTGGTAAGCTTGCAGTAATGGTTTAAAGTAGTTCCAAATTTGCAAGTGCTCCCTAACAAAACCATACTTTTTCTCCCACATTGATTGCAAATGATCCATAATTATCGAGAAATTTTATCAATTGCTGCTTGCATCAATTCCTCATCCTTATTTTCCCTGAATTACTGTCAAAAGGCAACCGTTTGTGCATGCTTAATTCATGTGACTGAGACAAGTAGTAGTTTCTATACTGATTTTTTCCCATTAATGTCATCCACCGAATTCAATGTTCCATATTTTGTGAAAAAAACTGAGTAATCTATACTGCATTACTGCATCTTCAGGCTATTGATCATATCATCAATTCAGCTGCCAAGTCAAACTATATGTCAGCTGGTCAGATATCTGTTCCTATTGTTTTTAGAGGACCAAATGGAGCTGCTGCTGGAGTTGGTGCTCAACACTCACAGGTTTGTCAGGCGGAATTGCTCATGTAGTTATGTACTTATGTGTCTGATTATCATCCTTACTTCCTAATTTTTCATTTTTATGTTATTGCCATCCTTTTCTGTGCTTGTTTGTATTAGTTATACTTGCCACTGTCAAGATGTCAATCCTTTGATGCTCTGTGAACCTGTTTGCAGCACTTCTATAAATTAACGGTGTAAAATAAACTGATAAGTTTTTAGCGCAATTACAAAAAATTGCGCAGCGAGTTACTTTACCATGTCTATACTGTAGGGAGCTGAGCAGTTGTTTTGTAATTGTTTCATTATGATCATGAGCTTTAATGATTACATAGTACCTGTTTTCATACATCTTTTTGCTAGCACCTTGATTATGAGATTATAACTGTACTATCATGAATTTACTAACTCAATTGTATGCAGTGTTATGCAGCTTGGTATGCACATGTTCCAGGACTTAAGGTTCTCACACCATACTCTTCAGAAGATGCCCGAGGCTTGCTCAAAGCTGCTATTAGGGATCCTGATCCTGTTATTTTCCTGGAAAATGAATTGCTGTATGTCAGTCTGATCTTGTTGAATCATTTTGCTAGCTACCTATCATTTTGCTGAGATGCTATCGTACCACTTGCAGTTATGGAGAATCTTTCCCAGTTTCTGCTGAAGTGCTTGATTCTAGTTTTTGCCTACCAATTGGCAAAGCTAAGGTATGTTGTGTCTTGGGTGCATATGGGTGTATGTGAAGGAGGTTAGTTTAGGTAGGACTATTTCCACAAGTTTACCTTGGGACAGTTTTGAGTGGAGTTCCTATTGATGAACCACCTTGGGTGTAGAGATCAGATACAGACTTGTAGGTATATATATTATATATTATATACGGAAGAATGCTTTCAAAATGGGTTTCCCCCATTTCCATTTCCGCATTATACTTGATATTATGTGCACTTTACTGTGGCCCTCGTCTTTCTGTAGATAGAACGTGAGGGTAAAGATGTTACCATTACTGCGTTCTCAAAGATGGTTGGCTATGCTCTCCAGGTATGTCATGATGTACTTTGTAAACAATGTAAAGGAGGATTAATTATTAGTCCATTATTTATTAATCATTACCCTATAGGTTGACAAATAATTAGCATGTGTTTCCCAATATATGTTTACTTCTGTAGGAATTTGGATGTACTGCATCAATGCACTTTTGTTACTCATTAAACTGATCTACAAAGTTGTCTGTTTGAAAATTGTACTTTTGATTTTTGTTCTAAGAGGGATATTTAGGTGACTGATGGTTTTAGTAGTGCTTATGTCACTTGTCTATCTTCATTTTTCATCATAGTGGGCTGTTATTTTGGTGCATTCTCATGCTCAGTTTGTCTTCAGGCTGCAGAGATACTGTCCAAGGAAGGAATCAGTGCTGAGGTAATTCCTTTTGTAGATGTTATAGTTTCACTTGTTCAGTGTAGCCATCTAGTTTTCTCCATATGACATCTGTAGTACCTTACTTTTGGTTCATATTTGTTACAGGTGATCAACCTTCGATCGATCAGACCACTTGACAGAGCTGCTATTAATGCATCTGTGAGGAAAACCAACCGATTGGTGACTGTTGAAGAAGGGTTCCCCCAACATGGGATTGGTGCCGAGATATGGTTCTCTCTAACCCTTACCTCTCTCACACATTTGTGTGTGGTATCTAGTATTCTAACACATGTTTGTTGCAGCATGTCTGTTGTAGAAGAAAGCTTTGAGTACCTTGATGCACCAGTTGAGAGGATCGCTGGAGCTGATGTACCTATGCCCTATGCTGCCAACCTTGAGAGAATGGCTGTTCCACAGGTCCTCTTCTTTGCCTTCCATCCTAGATTTTTCTATTAGCTCTTGTATACACTGCTCAAGACTGCTCCCTCTTCCATGCTTCTTATGCTATTTATGATAACATTTCGTGTCCTGTATCCCTGGTTTCATCTAGTTATTTATTTAACTTCATTTATGAATTGTATGTCCAATCCTTAGAAATTCCACCAGTGGCTAATTGTGTAAAAGATGGTCAGTAGTAGTCATAAAAAAAATGTTTCCTTTGGAACCATCAAATGTGCATGACATTTTACCATAACTTGGGTTGCATACGGCCACTCTAAATCACAAATCAGATACTGTTGTCAGCTCCTGCATTTTTGCACACTTTGTGTAGCTGTTATCCGCCACCCGGATATGCCTGAAGGATTGTCCTGCCATGTTTAGGAGTTGGGTGGTTTCTTTGTCTGTCTAGTTGTGCCTACCAGGTAGTCATTGTGGTCAAAGTGGTCACACAGCATAACGTCGCTATTATTGGTTGGCTGCTTGGCTGTAATGCTTGATGCTAAGACTAGTAAGAATTGGGTCTGGATCTTGTTTGGTAGTGGAATGACTCATCCGGGAGATAATTGAGGAGCATTTTTGGGTTGCTCATGGAAAGCGAAATATTTTTTTTGCTACAATGCTATACTTTACTTTTTAAACATGTCTGCATGAAAGCTTATGTGCATATATTGCAAAATTCCCTGATTTGCTGCAATTTGTATTACTTTAGGCCCCATTGATTTTGTTGTTGCCGTAGCTAACAGATCATACGGCTGTGCTTGCTTGCAGGTCGATGACATTGTGCGGGCAGCAAAGCGGGCCTGCTACAGGGCAGTACCAATGGCAGCAGCTGCCTGATTGGTGGACAAGCCTTTCTGTTTTCCTTCCCTCGGCTTTCGCTCTCTAGCCAGAGAACTGTAGTATTCATAAGGTGCAGGCAAATTGGCCGGACCCCAGACTCCAAGCGAGCTAATTTTGTAGATCTGCCATGGTGTGATTTATTCCGTTAGTCGATATATGCTGCATTCTTTCTAGTTTCAAGTCCATTTGCTTTTCTATGATTTCTACACACGGCCAAATAATCTTGTTAAGGCCCTGATTGAATGCAAAGTATCTTTTGGAGTAACATGAAGTGTTTGGAAGCAACAAACTTTATAGTTTTGAAAATCATGGTATTGCTAAAACTGTAGTCTTTTAGGAGTTCCATAAATAAGCTCAGATCTCTCTTTTCTCAGTTTTGCACATCGATTCTGACACTGCAGATTTCTAATCCTACGGTTTTTTAATACTACAACACATGCAAACGTATCACATTGCATATTTTGCTACTTGGGCCAAGAGGCCAGTGGATGTTAAACTACTCACGAAAACGATCGTGCATGCCTCCCTTTTGTTACCTGCCTCAAATTAACATCTCGAAAAATGATCATGCATGCCACCCTTTTGTTATCTGTCTCAAATTAAAATCAGGGTATCTCTCTGAAATTAACATTAGTGGACACCAAAATGTGTTGCCATTCTGCTATCTTGTTAACTTGTACTCTAGGATTTGTTGGAGATTTCTGCATTGCTCTGTTCTTGCTGAGACCTCAAGACGAGCCCCCCAAACAGAGTCCCGACGGTTCGATCTGCTTGCCCATATACATCTTTTATCGCGACAACGATCCCCCACCGACATGTTGGGTACGCGCGGTCCGCCAGTGACGGCGACCCTCGTCAGAAGGTCGTAGTACGGCGCAGCTAATCATGAAACGCCCAAATGATGGTCCGGTCAAAAGACCGTGTGCTTAATTGGGCACGGATCCTGTGCCGGTAAGCGTCAATCAGTGTAGTAGTCGTAGCAGTATAATAATGGCACGTCCTCGTCACCGAACGCGTCCCGTCTTCTTTTCCTAATCCTAAACAACGCCCACCCAACACAACCACAACCTGTGAGACGAGGACGCCGCTGATTGGCATCGGATGTCGTTGAACGAAAAGATGGGTCATACATGCCCTGATGCCCATGCGATATTTGCGTCCCATTCTTCTCTGCTTTCCGCAAACACTCCCATCTTTGACCGGACTGATTGGTTGCAAAGCCAAAGAAGAATAGGATAGTCTCTGTTATGAAAAAGGATATAAAAAAAGATAAGAGAGCAAAGGCAAGATAAGAGAACAAAGGCATTAAGGCAACAACAACCTCTGTGCTCCGAAGAAAATATAGTAGTGTGTGAAGCACTAGTAGTAGACTAGCACAAAGCATATTATTATTAGCATAAGCAACGCCGACGGCTCCGTTTGACCAAACAAAGACCGGAGCAGCTACCAAAGCTTCATTCGAGGCAAGCAACCGAGAAAAAGATCATCTACATTTTCTTTTAAATTAAAAAAAATACTACCATTAATTAATTAAGGGCACATTAAAACAGTGCGCGGGCCGCGGGAGGAAGAAGTAAAAAGAAAGCGCGCACCAGCGCTGCAGCCTGCAGCACCCGCCGCACTCGAGCTCCGAAAAGGAGGAAAAAAGAATTCTCCATTTCCCCACTCGCTCCCTCTCTCCCGCTCGTCAGTGGGAGTGTGCGTGCGGGGCTACTAGCGCCGCTAGGGTTTCCGCGAGCACATCGCCGGCCGGCCGCGGGCGATCTGGGGCTCGATCCGGCGCCCGCCCTGACTCGGGTTCGCGGGGCGAGGACATGGAGTCGTCGCTGCGGAAGCTGCGGGGCTTCGCGCTGCAGCGCCACGAGCAGCGGGTGGACCGTGACCGGGACCGCTGCCGGGGCCAATCCACCGCCGCCGCCGCCACGGCGGCGGACGAGCTCCTCGCGGCTGCCCAGGTGTGTGGACCTTGCCTCTCCCTTTCGCTTCGTGGGCGAGCGAGCGAGCCGGGTGGGTGGGTCAGTCTGTTGCGGGTGTGGAGATCTCGCGGGGGAACTCCGGTTCCGCTTCTGGTTTTCCGCAGCAGCCATCGCGGGTTGATGGATTCCGCGCGATTGGTTTTGATGGCCGGTTCGTAGTTCGGTTGTTGGTGTGTGAGAGTGTGGAGCATCGTCGCCGTGGGGATTGCATAAGAAATTCTAGTGTCCGGATCTGTGCTCAATTTCACAACACACGGTTGGACGTCGTTGGGATTCCACGGGGAGGAATGAGCTTTGCTTTGGGGTTGTTTTTCCTGGTGCGGTGGGAATCGTCCGCTCACATTTGGTTTAGCATAGTCTTGAGAGAGAATTTCCTTTGATCTGCTAGTGGCGTGATTTCAGCTCAACTTCTGTGGTTACTTGGCAGAGTCATGTTTGCTTTGGTTTTCATTGGGATGCATTTTCTCCTGTTCAATGAGGTGGTAATCGAGTGATTATCATGCATCGATGCTTGTGTGCGGTGTCGCTTTGGTGGGAGATGCATTTATGCATTTGGCAGGTCTTTCTGCACTAGTGTAGTGGGGCAGCAGCAGAACTCGTGATACTTCTGAATTCCTTACAGTAAATGAAAGTGGCATTTTGCCCAATTGGGACCTTGTCTAATCTAGTTAGATCTGACAAATGGGTGCCCCATTCCCAATCAGTTTGTCCAGAAGTCTTCAATTGTTCAAAATTGAACTATTTTGTGTGGGTGTCCTAAAAACAAAAAGCAGTGATAACCTAGTCCTGCTGTTTACCAGCTGTATAGCTTCATCAGAATACCATAATGGATGATGTTAAAACTTCTCTTGGTTCAAGTTCTGGGTCTGCTTCCTGCTAGTTTTGTTCTGAATTGTTGCTTTCTTTGACAGGATATGGCAGATATGAGGAGCTGTTACGATAACTTGCTTTCTGTTGCTGCAGCAATTGCAAATAGTGCATATGGTAATTTTCTTGTCTAAAGCCCCCCATCTTCCCGAGACCCTTAATCAAGTCCATTTTTTCATGGAAATATTAGTTATTGGCTATGTTTTCTTTTATGTTTATTACTTAGGTTTGCACGTTGTTTTTTTAATATAAAATAGCAATCGCCCATCTCTCTAAAGATCATGCTGAACGTATTTAGAACATATTTCTCCTAATGATTTACTTAATCAAGCAGGAAATGCAAATCTTAAACACCTTAATTTCACCTAGCTGATATTGTGTTTGTGTAACCTCACTTCATTTGTATTTGTGAAATATTAATGTATAGATGGCGTTATATGCAGAGTTCTCTGAAGCACTTCAAGAAATGGGAACTTGTTTGCTTAAAAGAGTTACACCAAATAAGGATGGAATAAATGGTAATTATGTCATGTCTTGTTTTTTCTTTGTGAACATGCTTGTTTTGGTAATTGATGGCAATGCATGTGCATCATTATAATGCTTATTCTAGATTATGATAGATTATTGTCATTAAACTCATTAGAAGGGCAGGCCTGGTGCAGCGGTGAGAGCTGTCTCACTGAGTCACCAGGTCGCGGGTTCGAAGCAGCCTCTCCGCAGATTTTGCGGGGGGGAGGCTTGCCTCGGTTTTTCCCTTCCCTAGACCCCACTCATGTGGGAGCCTACGGCACTGGGTCTGCCCTTTTTTTTTTTGTCATTAAACTCATTATCCTGAGGGTTTCAAAGCTATTAACTTGATATTCAGAAAGTCTTATACCAATGCCTGTATGGGGTCTCATGTCTATATAAGTTTTGGAGTCTCTTGTATAAATTTCCAGTCCTTTTGTAAAGTGGTGCAATTACTCTAGAAAAGGCATTTGGGTTTGGATGATACTGTTAATCCTCTTGTGATTGTTTCACAAAAAGGAAAAAAAATGCCATGCTACAAAACTTAGTTAAATAACCTCATGGTCATGGATCTGCCGTTAGGCTCTTCAAGGAGGATGAGAGTGAGTTAACCAAAAATAAAATTGTACTAGACATCTTCACTTCTGGTCACTAGACTGTCTCATTAAGAAAAAAAAGACAGAGATATAACAAAAATGTGAAATAGGTCTCCTAATGTTTCCTGAACATGTCTTCTAACTTTTAATTGCTGCTCCATTTTCTGTTTATTTCTTACATATAACTTATCTCCCAGATAAAGTTTTGCTGTTGCTTGGGAAATCACAATTTGAACTTCGGAAACTTGTAGATAGTTATGTAAGTTTCTAATTGTTTATTTGTTTAACTTGCTAATTGATATACTATAATCTTCTGCTGCTGATTCATACAACTACCTTTTTCGTAGCGTGTGCATGTTCTTAATACCATCACCACTCCATCGCTGTCGCTTCTTAATGAGCTTCAAACTGTGGAGGTACGATCTCTCATGCTGGTGCTTCTAGGTGTTATGTGCAGGCTTATATTTTCTTTTTCTTATTGTTTGGGTCTGTGCACTTTATCAAGTTTGCTATTTTCAGCACCTTTTCATCCTGCCTGTGGCCTTCTAAGCATATAATAGAAATGAGCTCCCTGTTTACTCAAGAATGGAGAAAGTTAGTAGTTTGGGTGATGTTTACTTGCAAAACCATGTATTGATATGTGCTTTATGTGGTCAAATGCTCATATCTGTACCATGGTCCCTGGACTATAAAATAATCTTTGACAAATGTAATACTGTTTTATATTTACAAATAGGCTCATACTTTTCCCGTATACTTACAGTACCTAGGTTTATCAAAAGGCATGCCAAGCAAACATGGCCTTGCTTTATAGGCACAATCAAATTTCTAATTTGCATCCAGTTTATTTCTGTATGCTGCTGGTTGATGCCTTTATTTCTTGAGTTAAAAGTTCTCTCTTTTAAGAGTTTTAGTTCTATGCCCATCAGACAACTATGTGTGATTAGTAGAGTATTTCTCGTTGCAGGAAATGAAGCGCCAATGTGATGAAAAAAGGTATGGTATTTGTACAGAACTCACCCAATTTTTTTTTTGTTTTGTTGACGTGAAT